TTCTTTGCATAATTAAAAAGGTTAGCAACAAATAAAGCCATTAAAATTTGTGAAATTAAAGTTAGATTTTCTTTATTTTTCTTTTTTTTTTTTGATCGATGCAGTTCCAGTGAAAGTCAAAACGATAAATACTTTTAACTGGATTTCCTCTTTGACTATTGACGAACCAAGAAATTAACTACAAAAGAAGCCACGAGGGAGAACAATGTATCTACCTTTAGAGTACACATCACTAATCCTTCCAAGGGCCTGATTCCAAGCACACGGGCACGAACATTACTCCCTACTTTCAACTTCTTTTCCAGCTTCAGAGCTTCTTTATCAGAAGCATCGAATATCTAGGCAAAGATAAGAGAAAGTGAAATGAATGACATGTTTGGAGAATTAAACAGCATAGAAAGGTAGCAATAAATAGTGCATGCCAAGAAATTTTGACCTACATTTACATATCCAGGTGTTGGATCTGGACTTGATGGAATCTCGAGTAGAAGTCCAAATCTTCTATCAACTCTAACTACCCGTGAACTCTCAAAGATATCTCCAGCTTTAACATACTTCAACAGTTCGAACACCAGAAGTAAGAAAATCAGCAGCAAAAAAATCAGCAATTACTTTTTAAGTAAGCTAGAGTGAGATAATAATTTGTGAGACAAATTTCAATATTCCTGGGGAACAACAGTATGGCTCCATTTCCTCGCAACATATACTAGAGGACACACATATGAGCACAAACTATAACCATAATAATTCCATAAACTCATAAGCTTTAAGATTAGGCATGGAAGTCCATGATACACCTAAACTAAAGCAACATACTGTTATGTTTCCAACTAATAAGAAATGGAGAATAAGATTACTATTTGGAGGCACCATTGCCCTGTAAAACATATGCATATCGTGATCCAGGAAACAGGTTGGAATAAAAGCCGCATTTCAACTTACAACAGGAGGCGCCTTGTTACGAATAAGATGAGGATTCAAGGTAAGACCAACAGCTCTTGTAGTAGGATCAATAAATAGTAACCGAGCTCTTACCTGACCAGTAACCACAGTATATCAGAACAATTAAAGAAAAGATAGAGAATATAAAAAAACTAAATGAAGCATCAATATTACACCTAAAGATAACAATAACACATGTGACGGAACAGAATAATCATTGCTCAATTAGTGTTTTAAAATACGGCCGCATCAGGTGCTATGTGCTGCCCAGTACATTGCACATGCCCGGATATGCGATTTGGAGAGATGCGCCTGCATATGCGTCGCATCAGAACCGCATCCCGCATCAAGCGCATCAGGCCACATAATATGTCTGCCATATTTTAGAAACTGAACCCCTCAGGTAGGGGGGGGTAATAAGATCATTTTGACCTTCGAAAATGGGGGAAAGGGTTTGGGAGGGGGTCTTAAACCCCCCAAACATCATTTTTCAGCCACATTTTTGGCTTTCATTGAAGCGATTGAATCAAAAAAAAAAAAAAATTGGTGGAAATTTTATTTGTTGAAGTTCTTTGATTTGTGCATTTGTTGATGCTTGATTGTTGATTTGTATCTTTTGGATGTTGATTTGAGGAAGTTTAGGCGAACTTGTGAGAACAAATCAACTTGAGAAATGACGATGATTGCATTGACTCCTCTTGAGCTTGACTTTTAAACTCTTTAATCTTCATGGACTTTTAGTATATAATATTTTGTAACTTTAAAGTTTGTGGTCGCAGATTTGTGCTTATGGTAGTTGATTGTTGAATGTTTTATGAAGCTAGTTTCAAGTTTCTGGTTTCTATCAAGGGATAGTGGATACAGAATCTCCGAGAGCTAATACTTTTGGAGTGAATGAATAAACTAAATACCTACTATCACATATATCACCTCCATAGTTTTTATATGCATTAACCTATTTTTTTAGATTTTTTAGAATTTTTTTTGTATTTATTGACGTTCCTTCTAAATAGGGAAGAAAGCATATTTTGATAAGAATTGAATCCATTGACCCATGACAGGAACAAGTACAGCAAAATAATCAAATGCTAAGGACTTGCAAATTACGAGGAAACCAGAACTTTATCACATTTCATCATAACCACTTTTGAAGCAGGCAACAGAAAGCACATCTTTCCAAGTAGTAACACAAAATACATAAAACAGTACGGATATATATTCCATAGAATTACTATACCCTCATAGAATGATCAAAGTCATCCTTCCAAGTGGCACTAGGAAATTGAATTTGCATATTAAAGATGTCAACCTGTAGATCATAATCCACAAAAAAAAAAAGGAACCGGATCAACATAATAATCTTTATCAATACAAAATTGCATTCAAAAGGAACTGTCAAAATAACTCAGAGCAAGAGACAACCAACAAAAGATGATACTTACAGTTCCTGTAAAATAAGTAAGAAAGGATAACAGGATGCCATTCTCAAGCATCGATTGGACACGAGCATTAACCATCATCCCAGGGACAAGCATATCAATTGATAATCCTTTAGGATCTTTAGCCTAGAGAAAATTTAACATGATAATGTCTTGTATCAATTGCAATTGAAGGAGAAAAGAACAAAATTTGCGATGTAAAGAAAGGACAGCTGTAAGGTAAAATGCTAAGCCATGTACAGAAAAATATTGAACTTCATGGAATTCAATAATTCATTTATATGACACAAATAAAACATCATTTGCCAAAGAAAAAAGACATGAATAGGCAAATAGGTGTGTAGTCCCATGCTTACCAAGCCATTGGCTACTAGATCAGGATCAGAACTCAAGTGAACAACTCCCCGAACTCTATCAACACTGGAAACCACACCTTGTAGTAGATGACCTCTATTCATCATGGCATCAGCATCATCTGCAGCAAAACAGCATTACTTAAACAAGTCACCTTGTTCCACCATGCACGCAATCCAATATATCGGGCAATGATTCTTTCTATAATTAACCAATATGTATGGAAATTCTAGAAGTAATTACTATCTTATTGCTACTGCCCTAAACCTAGAAAGGGATGTTCCAAAGCACAAGGGAAAAGTATTTTATGATTGAAAAATAGACAAAAAGAAAATGATGATTGAAATGAAATCAGGCACGAATGAGATGCATCAACAGCAATGACAAGTTGTAGGAAAACCTAAAAATAGAAAAAAAGAACATAGCGAGGGTAATATTAATACCAATTTTGCTGCTTCTTGGCATAAATCCAGTGAAACATGAGATTCCAAAATGAAGAATATAACCATGATCTTCAACACTTCTCACACATGCCATGAGTACCTACATAGCATGAAAAACATAAAAGAAACAATAAAAAAAATTTGATCTGCGAATGAACCCTATCACCAAACACCAAAAACATTTAAATAGAAACAAACAAGAAACCTGGAAAAGATTTCATAGCCTTCCCAGAAACTTTGAAAAAAAATACAAAGGGGAATGATCCTATGAATTTTCAATACGCCATGTTACAATGTAAAAAAAATTCCATACCCTTTCTTTTGAAAAATTCCATGGGCCATTGCTTTTTTCTCATTCTCCTTCTCTTAATTGTAACAAAAAGAACCCATCAACACCTCTTTTTTCTCGCTTCTCTCTCTAACTCAGACCTCTCTCTTCCGCATCTCGCTCTTCAAAACCAGACATTCCCCTGCTTGCAATATCTCTACAAAGCAAGATTAAAAACCATGTGTTGCTCCCTAAAGCTATGTTGAGAAACCCATATATCTCTTTCTACAAACCCACACATACATCCGCTAAAGAGAGAAGCTACCCCTTCATGAATCTCGGCCTTTCTCCCTCTTTGTCACCATCTTCAACCATTAAAAGAACTTAGGTGCTGCACCCTCTTTCCACACATGCTGCAATTCTTAAAAACATTTTGCCCCTTCTTTTCAAGTATTTGTAGGTTGGGAAACTACCCAGCCAACCTTGTGTTTTCTCTCCCTTGCTCTACATTATCTATGAAAGGGAAACTCAAGCCCCTGCAATTTTGTGTTTGCACTTCCTTTTCTTCTCCATTAATAAGAGAAAAATAGGAAAAACCAAGCCTCTACTAGATCTCTGCTAATTCCTCTTCCTTGACTGAGTATCTCTATCATTCATCTATCTAATGCGCCCTAATACAAATATCACCACTCAAGTTTCAGGACAGCAACCTTTGAAGTTGCAGCAGCAAAGAAACCCATCGCATTGGATAGGGGGTGAAAGTGCTAGAAAGAGAAAGGGAGGAGAGGGGCAGATGAGGTTTTAACGGGAAGAGAGATATAGCATTCATTTCCTTTGATGGCTCTACTCAAGAGAGAGAGAGAGAGAGAGACCCCATACATGGAGACAGAGAGAGAGAGGCCTCTGTAGATGGATCTTTGGCACCCATAGGAGAGAGAGAGAGAGAGAGAGAGAGAAAGCAGGAGAGAGAAAAGAGGGAAAGAGAAATAGGATGACAGTAGGGAAGAGAGAAAAGGGGAGAGAGAAACGGGGGAGAGAAATTGGTGGTTTGAATGGGATAAGAGAAGGGCAAAAAGGTAAAAGTATAATTGGAGTTAGAAGACCTTAAGAGTTATCATGTTTTGACATTTATTAGATGGGATGAGATTTAAAATGGACGGTCTAGAATTCACATACACACTATCAAGGTGTATTGAAAATACACAGGAGGATCATTCCCCAAATACAAATGTCAAAATCGAGACAAACTATCAAAAATAGTGTACAATGTTCAGCCATTCACTTCACACTATCATTCTATCACTCCCGGCATATAAATCTAAACTATCGAAAGGACTTTATCTAAACATGTGCAGTTAGATCTCTCAAGGCTAAAGGCAGGAAACATCGAATCTCATGAAATCAAAACAACAATTCAGTGAGAAGCATATATTTGAGGAGCAAAACAAAATAAATAATAAATAATTATTTAAGGAGCAGTCATGTTTGAGAATCAATTTTTGGTTGTTCACTCTAGATAAATACATTTCTATCAACTTGTTCCCACATAGCACCATATGGAAACATACTTGACTGAACCTATGAAATGAAGAAAGAAAGCACTCCGTCAGAGTCTCCACAAAATTCCAGAAAGAACAAAATGTAAATAGTGTACCATCCTTTACCCTTTTGTTTATTATCAAGTATTCTCTTCACAAAACGACGTCTTGCAGATCACTGAAAAATAGTATAACAAGAAGTGTTGGTAGCCATAGGATCAAGTAACTAGCTATACCAATAAAAACAAAATAGGCAAATGGCCAAATCAGGGTTGTCTATGAGACGTTTAAAAAGGCTGCCAGGTAATATGGGTCCTAGTGTTTAGCTAAGTATGCTAGGGAATCAGGGGTGTGGATGGCCATTAAATTCGCTGCCCCCAATTTAAGGAGGTTCAGGTTTAAGATCAGGACAATTTTAGAATTCTTTTTTGGTGGACGTCTAGTATGGCGGATTCCACCTCTACCTTTCGCTGATACTTAATCAAATTACTGCCAAGCCCTACATCAATGTCAAGAACGTATTTCAGAGAGGTCCAAGGGATTTTGTGTTTGTTGATTGAGGACTTAACATAAAGATTGCTCAGACTACTTTTATCTAGATCTGTAGGTGTGATGGGTAGACTCGGCGAAAGCAAGTTCTTCTCAATCAGGCCCATCAGGTGTTTAACCAAAGCGCTTCATGAAGGTTCAGAGTTCCAACACCGAGCCTCTCAAGTTTCAAAAACATGACACCAGATCTAGTGGCAACCCTCGAGCTCAGCAATGCCGATTCCAATTACTAAAAATTTTAGCATGTTAAAAAGCACACAAAAGCATAATCATCTCTTTCTATCGTCTACCTTCCCCGTGGAGTTTTTCTTTGCCACGTCCGGAATCTGCAGGGTGATTCCACAAGAAGTTAAAGCTCTAATGTCTTGCTGTAACTAATTAACTGATACAAAGCCACCATATTTCCTAATGCTCCCTCATCGACAACTTATAGGGAACAAGGCTAAAGAGGAACAACAGGATCTTTAAATAAGCTTTCGTACTTAGAGTTCCAAGATGTGAGAGGGATTTGTGAAGCAAGAGCTCTAGCCTATCACAAATTCTGAGTTACCAGAGTTATGGATGTTCATTAACAGTTCTCCCTCAATCGTGTTCGACAAACTGATGGTTCAGAGGGATTCCCTTGACGTTATTAGGAGGTCTAAGGGCCACTCTTAGTGGGGTTAGTCGCCAGATATCTAGGCCCAGACTATGGCTGACAGCGTCAGATGAAGCGAAACAAGTTACTTCAATCTCTCACTCTGCAGTACCAATTCAGAGGTAAATACATTGCAAAATGAAGGAATTGGGAAGGCTCCGCAAGGCTTGGCATTAGCATTTAAGACCATGAGGCCATGGACCCTTTCTCAACCCATCCACCCACCCACCCACCCACGCATCCACCCCTTTTCCCTAAGCCCTCCTTTCCCACCACTCTTCAGATCTCGCCCATATTCCTTAGACTTTGAATCATCTCTTATATTCCCCAGCAGTCAAAAACTCAGACTCTGCTCCAGACACGACCTATGTACGGAAATTTTCTCTTTTGTCTTTATTTACAACGCCAAATTAAACAACAGAAGCAGGAAATAAAACCTAAATATAACCAATGGACATTAAGTTTTACTGCCTTAAAGAAAAATAAAAACTTTTATCCATAAGCTGAATTCCAATACAAGTAGAATTCTAAGTCAAATAGGAATCATAATTCAAATAGGAATCCTACTCAAGAACAATAAACTTAAAATTAAACTGAAAACATTAAAAAAAAAAAAAAGCTGAGAAGACTTATCTAAACTTTGCCTAGGGTCACCCCTGTAGGACTTAGCACAACCCACACCCGTATACTTGATCGATGGCGCATTGATCCTTGGCCCTGCTTGAGTCTCCCAAATCTGGGAAGCACCTGTGGCAATACCCTCTCACAAAATTGGGGCTGGGAGCATGAATAAAACAAGGTTTCTTTTCAACTCTTAAAGTTGAAACCACTACAAACAACTGGGTTGGGCGTGCCTGCTCTCAGCCTAGCCAGGTGGCGCGCCAACCTCTTATGGCCCTGCCTTACTAGGTGGGGTGTCACCTATCCAAGAGCAAAGAGGCTAGAAAGAGAGTGGCATGGAGGAGGGCGGGGGAGGGTCAGAGAGAGAGAGAGAGAGTCCTCTACAAGAACAAATGGTGGGAAACAAGGGGGCTCCCCCCATTATTTAGGGCCTCATGGCCTAGGATATGCCAGCTTCTAAAGGGACTCAAATTTGACTAAGGAGGTCTAGGTAATCTGTGAGTTGAGGAGGGAATTAAATCTGAGCCACCCATTTCTTAGATCAGTCATAATGATCAAAGAAGAATCTTAGATCTATTATCCCTCAATATCATTGACCCATATCCACTTCAACTAAGACTAGAATTAGATCTTCCATATTCCCATGAAATATGAACTCTTTCTCAGATAGAAATAATTTCCAATTACTTTAGAAACTAAGAGCCAACAAGATCAAAGTCAAGACCAAAGAGGTCAAACAATAACCAACTAAATCTGTTAAAAGGTTATCTTTAAGAATTTTGACCATAACGAATAATAGAATTCCAAGGGGCATCTAATGGATTGGACATATGGGCCTTGTGGGGCCCACATCCTCCCCCATGCGGGATCTCCAATTTGTGGGGCTCGGCCCTAGGCCCCTGGCCCCCCAAGTAGGCCCCACAAAGCCCCTCATAAATTTGAAATTCTTAAAAATACCCTTTTAGGGATTTTTATGTATAAATAAATTTATTCAAATTGTGAACATTATTCAAAACCACAAAACCAACTAATAACGTTTAAAAATAGTATTTATGACATTCTAAAAATTTTGAAATACAAATAATACAAAACTAGAAGTGAATTGGTACCAATATGTCAGGAATAAGTAACATCTCTGGGGCACTCCATCTTTGCTAGAATTCATGATCCAAAACCATCTTCTTAAACCAACCCAACAGAACTCATGAGCCACAATCAATAGAAGAGGCTCATGATTGACCCATCAAAGCTGACCCATAAATGACAGAACTGTGAACCTAGTAGGTGGATCACAGATCCCCCCCCCCCCCCGCCCCCCCCCCCACTCCCCTCCCCTCCGCTCCCCTTACAAAGAGCAAGTCATATCCATAAGGATTCACATATGCACATATCACCACAGTGCAAAGGGGACACTCTATTATACACATGTACACAGTTCCCTCTCTATAGGGTTGCTTCCCAACATGTGATTGTTATGTGCGTGCCAT